CCTAAATGCACATTTCTGAAGCAGGTACAAGAGACACAGCAGTGATAAGAGTTACAACCTTGGCAACACTGCCAATATACAGATTCCTGTCTGAATAGGCAATTTTTTTTAAGCCCCTATTGAGTACAAAGGGAGACTCCCCGTTTCTTAAAATCTTCCTCAGTCTCCTCCTCAAATGCAAATTGGAGGTGTGTTGCCCTGCACACAAGGACTATGGTTAGAGAAATGCCAAACCTCAGACTACCCCTATATTCCATTTCATGAGCCTGCAAAAAGGGGCACCAAAAGATACAGGGACCCTTTTTACGTGCAATAAGCAAGAATCAGGTCAAAGTACAGCACTTCGGCTTGCGAAATGAGTATTTCCACGATACAGCAATCAGCAATAATGGGTGAGAATCCTCTGCCGCTCTCTCCTTCCCCAGCCTAGCCCCAAAATCATAACTCAGAGAAAGGCAAGTCCTTGCACGTTGCGTGTTTCAGACAGGTTTCAGAGACAATCACAAGTGGTGAGAATGCCAAACTGAGCTGGATTTTGATGTGAAAGGAGAAATCCGAGAGCTACCCTGCCTGCTTAACACCGAAGAAAAAGCTGTCAAACAAGCCACAGTGAAAGTTAGCTATCCGCAAAAGTTGAAATCCTTATTACTTGTCTGTGCTCCAGTGGTTCCCCTCTTTGAAAGGAAGTCAGCTTGCTCTGACCGTGGATTCGGTGAACGTTTTATACTGATCAGGGGAAGAGGAAGTGCTCATGTAGCTGGTGACATCTGCAACCTTTCCTCCAGCACATGGCCTGGCACATCTCCTCTAGCACATGGTCCATTATCTGAAATAAACATGCGCAGGAATACCCAAGCCCAGTATAGATTGTTGCTTTTCTTATGTGATATATATGCATCACACCAGTTGGCTTCTGGTTTGGAGACAAAGGTGATTAAAAATAATCACCAGTCTGTCCAATTATGGGAGTTACCGGAGCTGTATATTCTGCCCGAATGCAGGAAGTAATGGATAACCGAGACAATGCAAAAGAGCCTGCAAAAAACCTGCCTTGGAGCTCTTCACCGGCTTTTCAGTTAAATGGCTAATAGTGCTATAGGAAGGAAAGCCTGAATGAAATGGAGCAGGCAATTTATGCATCCTGTTCCAGTGAATGAATGCATCCACTGAAGTCAGGGTTCATTCAGCTTCCCGCTACATACCTTTAGAGGAAATGTGCAAGTTCAAATTAAATCCCAAGTGTTCTGAAACAGTGTTGTACAGCTGTCCTAGAGCCTATTAAAAAGCACTCCCTTTTTCCAAGCCAAGTCTGAATCAAAGCATAGCCAGCATTTGCACATCTACTGTAACATGGCTCGCACACACACTCTTCTGTCATGCTTTATGGAATGAAAGCTCATATATAATTTATCTACTACACACTCTTGGAAAGTAGTAATTACACTATACATGCATAAAAATAAGACAATAAATTTAAATGACCTGTTAAAGGCCACAAAACAGGCCACAAAACAAAAGTTGGTGGCTAAGCCAAGATAACTGCAGTTCCTGGAGTGCAGGCCTCTGAGTAATCCACTATGAGAGCACGCAATGTATTAGTGAACTAATTTTGCCTAATGAAAATAAGGAAAAAAGGAAGTAAGGTTTAAAGAATATAGCTTATGACACCATGGCAATTCAGCTCACATCTTCCAGTTTACTAATCAAGCTTATAAAACAAAAAGATGCAGGAGGGTACTAGCTGATCTTTCATTATTCATACCATTAATTTCATTGTAAACTAGGTATCGACCCTAACAGACTCCCTATCAGCAACAGCCGAACATGGGCAGGCACATTAAGTACTAACAATTAAAACACAAATTTGGGTCCACACACAAATATGTACCAGTTTAGTTATTAGCACAGAACCTCACCAGACACTTTTCAAGCAGTGGTTCTCACAGGGCTCCTCCTCCTACACGTCAAAGAATTTATTTTTTTTTACTGATAAAGACTGCGTATGTGAGCTAACTATCCATGCCCTTTCAGTGAAAAAGCAAACAAGTACAAGACAGTGTTCAAGCCCACAGTCATTCTGGTGCAGAGATAAACCAGAAGTAGCAGCTGTAAAATATGAATAACAATGCTGACCTCCACAGTACCGCGTTTAGTATTTCTTTATTGTAGCTTTTTTATATATATATATATTAAAAAAGAGAACATAATTGCTGTTTAGAATAGGGAAGCACGTACAGAAAAATAATTTCATTTTCATAAATACTAAAAAACCCAACCCTCAGGGGCAGTGCTGGAGAGAGATGCTATTTGGAAAACTGAGTTAAATTACTACTACAGGGTCATTAACACCAAGTGGAAGATAATAAAAGGAAAACTACACACTGTAAATCTAAACTCCAACTCAGCATGACTTTGAGACCAGGAATAGGCTCCTACATCACACCTTGTCTCTGTGGATCTGTTTATAATCCAAGCACAAACCACTCGGGACTAGATTGCAACACTTACATGGACATATATCCACATTCATGTAGATACCATGGACTTATAGCAAAACCAGGCTGTAACAAAACTCAAAGCAGGAAGAAATAAGCCATGCCTGTAAGCCTCGTGTAAGCCTCACAGCATGCTGCCAACCAACATTTTCCCTTAAAGCTGTACAACAGCATTCAAAACACATCTACAAATGGCCCCTCCTGGAGATAAAACACCTAGCTAAGAAAACAGTGGACACATTTCTCCCTAGGAGTAAGCAGGAATCTTTCTTTGCAAAGCTGCTGAGGGTGGCAGGTTTGGCTTTGTTTAAAGCTCGTTCCCTCTCTAGGCAGTGCACTTTGCAGAGGAAAAATAAATAGGCTGGAAAAAACCCAGAAGCTTGCAGGGGGAAACCTGCAGGGAAGCAAGCTGCACTGTAAACAGGGAGGCAGAGCAGGGCCGGGGGTCAGGAGGGCACGGCTGAATCTGGCTGTGGGAGCACAGGTACAGCCCCTGCCCCGCACCGGGGCGGAGGCGGGAAAAGGGGGCCAGGAGCCACTTTCCAAAAAGGAAATTTCACCCTGCCCAGGATTTCCAAACTGCAATAATTTTCCATGGGCCAATCAGGGAGGAGCGAGGCAAACGCACCAAATTAGGAAAGTAAATACTAGAAGGGGAGAGGGAGGAGGAGGAGAGCCCAGCTCATGCAACCACCTCCCAAAGCCAGCGATGGGAGAGGGGTGTGGGTCCCACGCTAAGCCCCCGCCAGCCCTCCCAGACCTGCCTTTGGGAAGGGGGAAGAGGACACTGTGCCAGCCTCACCCACCACTGTGAAGGCACAAAGATAGCAGAGAACTGCCCTGAAAGCCAGAATGCATAGCTACATGCTCCCCAAAGAGCATTCCCTTTCTCGGGCAAAACCACCCAAATAACTTCCCAAAGCCTGGCCCACAGGGTATGAGAGCTGCAAGAGCCTGCTGGGGGAGAGGGGAAGGTTGAAGGGGCTGAGCAGGGATGTTTACAAACGTGTCAGCCCCTCCTCTGTAAGAGGAACTCGGAAACGAAAGGGGTTTGGCAAGTGAAACCTCAGATGTCTTTTGAGGTTTTCTGAAGACTTGGCTGGATTAGCTTCTGCTCAAGACAAACGGATGCAATCATTAATCATCCTTACTAAACACTCCGTTAGGGGCTGAGCACAATTCAACACTACTATTTCCACTTTCTCCTTATGCAAAAGAAACATTCTCAGGGAGTCAAATATCAGTTGCAGGCATATGCCAGAGTCAAAAGATACAGCCTCTGTTAGTAACACAAACCACACTGTGCTGCTTTGCGCAAGATGACTGAATGGAAACTAACTACCATATGTTGGCAAAGAAACCATCCCCCTCCCCTCCCAGCAACAAGCTTCCTCTAAAAAGAGAAGGTTAAATATAAACTAAAAGCAGTGCCTGAACAGAGGACTAAAACCACAGCTACCTCCAGCCCCCTCTTTCTAGAATATCTGCACTGCACATCTGTGCAGCTCTGCAAGACTGGGGGAAAAACCCAAACAAGCAAGCGCCCCCAGATCTATGCAAAACCAAAGTGGCTTCATTGTGACACTGAAGTCGTTCTCAGCCATGTAAATTTGAATACTACTCACTGAATTAGTGCTGTCAGAAGGTGTTTGTGTATGATACCTTTTTACAAATGTACAGACAAGAAAACAAACCAAAGGCTATTACTATTACCAGATACACTCTCACTGTTCTGAGGCCTGCACTTTTTAAAACTCTAATACACCATCCTGTACCATGAGTATAGTTTACTTTATAAAATTTATTATGCTTCAAGTAACAGCTTTAATGTTAAAAGAGATTACTGCAACTCCATAACTTCAACTCGGCCGAGAAAGAAGAAAATAAAGTATTCTAGACAGTAACTTGATGTTCAGGTTATTTCTATTGCACATTCATGAATCAGATAATTTACAAAACAGGATACTCGCACAGATGTACATTCAGATTGCTACGGCCCCTAAGTACATGGTCAGCATCCTACCGCCATTTCCTTCTATTCCCAGGAAACCACATGCCAATGGCCACCCTTGTCCCTAACTTCAGATAATGCCGGCACCACCCAGCAACAACAGAATATTATTGAGATAAAAATAAAACAGGCAGTCCTAACATAGAAAATATTTGCCTGCTTTCTTTTCTCCATGCATATAGGTAGCTCTTGATAGATATTTCTAATTCCGCTGCCAAAGATAGACAGTAACTCTATAGTGTGAAACTGAGACTCAAGTTTTTCGCCCCCAACCCTTTGAGCTCTTAAAGAAAACCCTTGTGCCCTACTTCTAGCCATCATTAGAGTTTTTAACAGTCTTCCATAATTTTGAACAGCAGATATTTAACAAGTTTGTGGTTTTTTTAATGGGGTACTTCATGCACCAAGTATACCAGACAAACAACACAGGCTGACAGACTGGTGTCGGAGAACACCTTTTCCAGACAGCACACTTTGAATAGTTAACATCTTACCTGATAGTGCCTGTGGGGGACGGGAGGGGACTGACCACGCTCCGGAGATCCGGCTCCGGGATGTGGATCTTCAGAGGCGATATTTGAGGGTAAAGTGGCCGAAGGGGAGGTGATGAGGCTTCCTCTTTTGCTTCCTCTTTATGGTATAAAGATGTGAACTGGATCTTTATAACTGTGCTAGGGAATCGCAAAGTACATCTGTAAGGGAAAGAAAGGGAAAAGTCAGTTTCACACATGATACTAAACATATTTAAGTGTTTTGTATGCAATTGGTGAATCATTAATTCATTCATAGCATGAGAGTCCACCATTCTCTATAGCATCTTTCTGCCCAGAGTCCTGGGCAGAATTACTGAACATTCACAAATATCTGTGTATGTATCATAGTGTATCATGTATCATCTAGTGATTAGATGCAAGCTGAAGGTTTGGGCAAGCTAAGTGATTTCCCCAAGGCCTTGTATTCAATCAATGACTAAGCAAGATGCAGAACTACAATGACATACTCTTGAGTTCCTGCTATATCAAGGACTAGGATTTATCTTTTACTAGCTCCTTGCCCGTTAACTCGGGAAGATACAAGTTGCTATGAAGTATCAAACCATAAGCAACATGGAGCAAGAGAGCCATAAAGTCCAGACAGAGCAACAAACAGCCTCCAGGTAAGACCAGTCAGCACTATTTAAAGACTGGCCTCTACATATTGTATAACTAATACCCATTTATATCTCTGCACATGATGCTAAAGGATCACCTAGCAGGTTTCAGATTGAATACATTCATTCTAGAAGTGCCTCCCTTTAGGCAGCATGGGTTATAGCTAAGAGGGTCGGATCAGGGCCCCTGCAAGCCTATAGGGCCTCATTTCTTCTCTAAATAACACTCCTTTCCAATTGTTATTTAGGGGAAAAAATAATCGCACATCTACAAGTGTAGCCTTCAGGAGATGCTGGGAAATTCAAAAGGAAATAAGCACTGACATTTTCCATATTTGAACAGAAAGCTTTCTAATTTATAGTGTCTACAATAGGCACAGGGCTGTAAGAGCGAGTGTTCTGCAATTCTTCTTATTGTCCTTTAATTAGACAATAATGTGCAATCAATACAACTTTCCAGGGATCATTTCACTGATAGTAAGGTTAAAGCAGCAGGAAATAAAAACCAGGTTTCACCGTGGGAAAGGCCAGCAGAGCACAGTAATTGTGCTGGCTTCCAGCATCTTGCCTATAGAAGGAAATGAAGGGACTTGGGCCGTGTTGTTCCAGCACTGGAAGTGCTGGTGTAGGCTGTACGTAATTCTTTTAACCAGTGCATTATTGAATCCTGCCAGGTAACAGAACAAGGTGGTAGGCAAGTAAATCCATATTTGTGACCACCTTATCTTAATGCTACTATCAATAGAAATGCAGAGTAACATCCGATCACAGCTCTGAAAACATACTCTCTTGCTCCTGGTTCTTCCACACAAGCTAGTTCTGCTGTAGGGTAATGTTCACAACCTTGCCATGAAGAGTGCAAAATTATCATTCAGGCATAGGAAGCTCATTCCCCATCTCTCACCTCATGTCTCAAAGGAGCTGACTCAGCATTCAGCAGCTTGGACTCACAATGGTTCTGCTATGTACAGCAGGAGTTTGCATTGCGTTTAATTCACTTCAGAGGTCCTGTTACCTGCACTCATTAATGCATTAATTAAGACCATCATTGCTGGCAATGCAGCCTAATCTTGTTTATCTAACCCTTCTAAACATGGTTCCCTGCAGGCTCAATACAAACACACAATTCAAAACAGCAGTGTCCATGCTTTGCAATGTCTGCCAGCAGCAGGCACACAGCTTGCTGAGATGAACCTGAAACACAACTGTTGAACCACTACACTGGATTTTAAGCTTTCATACTGCTACATGGATTTGCTTATAGAAAAAAGCAGAGAATGCATAAATTTGCAATGAGCATCACATGGACTAAGGCTCAATACCAGTATGAGCAAAGCTTCATCATTTCTCAAGCCCTTACCAGGGAAAAGCTGAGCTTTCTTTCAGAGTGATGGAATTCTCTGCTGTAACACCAGGTGCTCAGCATTTTTCAACGTCTGAGTCAAGGACAAATCAGTCCTTGTTTAACATTGTTCAGTGCAATCCCAACCTGCTGCTGATCTCCACAGAGCCCTAAGGCGGTTTGGCAGCACTGTTGAGGCCAGAAGATCCCCACTGCAGCCTCACAGCAGTAAGGAGCCCTATTCCACTGCCGCTTAAGTCTTCCTTTTCAGAAGTACCCAGTAATGCAAGATCCACATCTCCTACATGTTACTGGTTCCAGGTGATGGTGCAACTATCTCCTCAACAATACTATACTTACTGATGCTGTAATAACGTTAGATAAGAAGTTAATACCTGCACCCAAAACACTGTGAGGCAGTCCCATCAGTCTGCGAGTACAGGCAATCTTAACAAAAGCTAACTGTTACTCTTCCAAAATCATGAGTCAACCTGAAATAATGAAGTCTAAACTAACCCAGTAAACATGTGCTAAAAAGGCTTGTCTAACACTGCTTTTCCTTGAGAGCCTCCCCAAAGCTATCCGATCCAGCCACGTGACTTACCCGCAATCTCAGACTGGAACAAGGGAAGAGACTCAGAGAGGCTGGGCTGACTACACAGGCAAACAATTTGTTGGCTGCTGTCATTTCATTTTTAGAAAGACAGGCTTCCCAATCCGCTGAAGCAGAATCCAGGACGTACAACTAGCTTTCACACATCATGCTAGCTAGCACATACGTGGCCATTTTGTAAGGAACTGGTCCCAGAAAAATCAGAGTGGATATTACAGCTTTAGAAGGGTTCTGCAGCCTGGTCTGTGTTGGCTTCCAGTACTGACACTGCCTGCAAAGCCAAGGTGGGGGTAATTTATCCGAATAGTCTATATGCTTTTAACTGCTCTAAAAACCTGGGACCCAAGAAGCGGAAGTGCAATGCAAAATACAGTGTAAATTCCTGACGAACTCCTCCCCTCCCTCAGGGGTGAGAAGGTGCCTGGCATTAACCTTATTGTTCCAGTCTATCACAACCACCGCAGTAATGCAAACAGTGACAACAGCACAGCCCAAGACACTGCTTCAAATCAGCATACACACACTAATACTGGGGAACTGTGTCAATGAGAAATCAGAAAAGCATGATTTCTGAATCATCTTGTCACAGGAAACTCACTTTTCATTACACTGAACCTGAATGCAGTTTTAATGAGCTTTTCTAATTGTTCCCTTAATTAACCTCTTTCTGACCAAAAGAAGATAAATTCAAATTATATCAGGTAGTCCTATTTAGGAGTGAGGCACATTAGTGCAGGATTTAAGCCTATGAGAATTATACTTGTACAGAAGATAAGCAAGATGGACAGCCCAAGCTGAACTGAGCATGCATTCCTTAAGATTACTGTATATATTTCAAGTTATTTAAATTGAGTGACACTATTTGATCCATATTGCATGATTCCTATCAAAGATGCATAGCAATTACTACTACTGCTTAACATTTCTGTCATGAGAAAACAGATCAGACTCAACATAAAAAGCATAATGAAGTTAACTGGTATTTCCAAGGGTGCCCAACAGGCAACTCTTAAGCACCACTGAAATTTCCAGCTGATTACAGAGGGGTAAATTAATGGTCTGCAAAGTCTCTTGGTCTTGGTACAGGCAGGAAGCAACCTGCTTCAGTTCCAGAACTGTTGAGTTCTTACTCAATAGCCTGCTACAGACAGGTACATCCTCCAATCCCTGGCCATATAAACCATATATATTGTACTCATACACAGTAACATTACATACATCTCAATTCCTTGTGGGAAAGGATTCCTATTTCTCTAGGATGCCTTGCAAGGCAGTGAGACTAGAAAGCTTTTTTTAGTTTGTGTTGAAACTGAACACAAACATACACACCCCAGCCTCCATAAACTGAATAGAAACAATTCTTGCCTTATGAGATTACAAGCAGGAGAAAGTAAAAGCAAATGGATTGCTGGCTCCCTGCTGCATGCTTTAGTTCAGACTCCATAGCACTCGCTGAATGCATGCTATATTTACATTGGAGACCAAGGGGAGGAGAAGGAGTGCACATGCCACACATGGTTACAGTGATATAAAAGATGTTGCTAGAATTTTGTTTGTTTGTTTTAAATAAGACAGATTTTCCAAAAGTTTCCTGGATGAGCTTCTCACACTGACAACACAGCACCCATGCTATTAGGCATCCTTCATGTGGTGAACCAGTGACAGTGACCACAAGCATTTCATCTACGTAAGGTCTGAAAATAAAGTGCTAGGAAACATTAGACTTTACATAAACAGTCACCCCCAAAGCAGACTTCAGGAAAAATGGTTAGGTAAAAACCCCAACAAGACAACTCCACGCCCTACATGACTATAAAAAGCAGACATATTCTCCCCCTCCTCAAAGCACCTTTTACTCACAGATGCAAAGGAAATGGAGATGCATTTGCCAAAACATAGTACCAGGTTCAACAGAAGCTATCACAGTCACCGATTTCTTTGTTAGAGCACCCTGAGTGCTGTTCAACACCAAATGACTTCTGCTGAGATTTGCTGCATAAGAGCAAGAAAAGGCTATTTAAAGAGATTTTAAAAGGAGACAGGAAATAGTGCTAGATTTGTTTTTATATTTACACCATGGAAAAGCACAGTGACAAAATAGAGAACACAAATCATGAAAAAGCCAAGGTGAAACATATATAAAAATATATATACACAAAAATGTATATATAAAACCTGGAATGATATTTATATGTGTTATGTAATATATATAAACATAACATATAATATAATATGTTATGTCATATATAAACATCATTCCAGTTCATTATGCAAAAGGAATAACCAGAAGAGTTGGAAGACTGTTACACATGAGTTGTCATCAACAAGTCAGTACCATCTTTGTCTACTTTATCTTTCCATAATTTATGAAATCCTGTTATTCCTGAATGTTGCAGGTATAAATGCACCAGTAGCATCTGTTTTACAAACAGTGCCGAGATGCAGGTTGAGCAAGGAACATTTTATGAAATGCTTCGTTAAAAATAACACTTTTCACAATTTGAATCAGAACAGTAACACAGTCCTGGAGTTTCATTCAGAAAACTTAGTTAAGCACGATTGTCTCCTTGTGCTGCAACTGCCACTTTTTTTTTTAAACTTGCAGATACTGTTACCACACAACTGACTCAGTATCTAAATCTTTCCCTCTGCCACATGATGCGAGGGGACAGTAGCTCAACTCTTAAGGATGAGACAGTTATCTCTACAATCAGTAAATTCCTTGGGTTCAGCAAACATGGACAGCCAGAGCTCTAATTACAGCAGCACATGTGATAAAACAGAACTCTGTTATTACTAGCTAAAGTTTGACCAAGGATGCCCACAAAAATCCTTGCAAAAGAGAAAAAAATCCCAAACAAGTCCCACACAACAGCTGTTACTGACCCCTGTAACTTCTCTGAAACCAATTTCTTTTTTGTGTCAATTACATATAATTCACCCAGAAGAATACGGTATTATTCCCATGCACAAAGTTCCAAAAACGTGTTGGGTTTCTCAGCTCAAGTGAGAATTTGCCATCAGTCATCTTTGTCAAGCTATTACCATTACCAGTTATTTCAAGGTACTTGACATGATTTTACCAAGGCAAGGCAGATACTTCTCACCCTTTCAATGTGTGGGGTATATACCAAAATTTCAGGCCGCGATCAATGTGCAGGTACTGCACGTAGCAGCCATTACAGAGCAGTATCCCAATTACCTCCTATAACTAATTTTCTTCATCTTCTGTAATCAGCTAAGGGAAGAACCACATGCCTGCTTCTATGAAAATCAAGTTCCCATTAAGTCATAAATCCACTCCCTACTCCCATAATACTTTGAAGCAGTCTGAAAGGAGGTGCCTTGGACAACATAAAAGACTCACTGGGAAAGTTTAGACACCAGCGCACCCAATATCAAACTAAATTTGGTTAGAAAAAGATAGAGTTTGCTTCACTTAACTAAAACATGTATCTAAGCCCTGAAGGTCTGCCCATGGAGAGATAAGCAAACCGAGACAAGAACAACTACCTCAGATTCACATTTCTTCAGAAACAAGGCTCTAATAATTGCTGTGACCACTGCAAAACAGCTGAGCTGGGAACATTTATTGACCAAGATTTGTTGCTTTGTGATGCTGCACTCTGCCCAGGGAGAGCAATGCTCTTCGAACTTCAGCTTTTCTACAGCAAGCCTCACTGCATTACCCAGCACAAAACAAAACACTTCAACTGCAAAATATTTAGAAGGGATTCCCCCCATTTCAGTAACTAAAATAACCACATCAATTTTCTCCATCTTCACAAAAATAAACTAGACCCTTACTCTCCGATGGGAGTAATCGTCAGAAGTATCGTGCTCAAAAATTGTAATTTTGCTGGAACTACAGATGTCTGAAGCAGCAACGTGGGCAAAAACATGCATTACAAAACCACTTTTCAATCACAAGTGAATTAAAATGAATATTAGTTT